ATTAACCTTGCAAGTCTGGATAGAATCTTGCAACTCTTTTGTGAATCTTTGTGAACTTTTTTTTGTGTTTTCACTTTTGCATAATCAAGGCTTCTGATGTACTCCTTTTGTTAAATGGAGTTGAGTGGTTTCTTTCCTGATTACTAAATGAAGTTGATGCTGACACCACCACTGGCAGGAGCTGAGGCAAGGTAAGGTAACTCACCCCATTGTGCAGCGCCCGGGTCATAAACCCAGTCTGTTGGCTTTCCAGCTAACAAGCTCATAGTGTCTTTAACTGCTGAGCCATCACACCTCCCTTTAACATCCATTTAACAAAAGGAGTACATCAGAAGCCTTGATTATGCAAAAGTGAAAACACAAAAAAAAGTTCACAAAGATTCACAAAAGAGTTGCAAGATTCTATCCAGACTTGCAAGGTTAATGTTAATGTAGCTTTAAGATTGAGTAGAATTGGTTCATTGAGCCATGTTTCTTGTCTGGTTTACATGGAGGGCTGATAACAATCTTATAAGTCCAAGAGTACAACCTTCCAGCTGCCCCCTTTAACAGCCTACTCCATGAAGGAGAGGGGGCTTGCTAAGTTCCTTTCTCTGATGGTTAAGCCTCTGGGGGCTCCTGCCTCTCTTCTCTGTTTCCTAGGTAACATCTCTTCCTCTCTTTCCCCAAGGTCTGTCGGGATTTCCTAATTAAAGCATGAGTCTCGAGCCAATCTTCAAAAGAAATCCAGTTATTTACTAGGAACAACATGTCGGGATGTACCCAAATGAAGCCAGCGCTGACCCCACGTAATTATGTTCCTGTTTCCTCCCTCCCCCCCCCGGGTGTGTCATAAATCACATTCACCAACAGAGCACTTTCGCAGGCTGTAGCAATCACACCCCTCCGGCTGCTGCGGGTAACCCAGGATACAGCCTTGAGAAAGATATGTGTGGAATGTGCTTCTGTTTGTGGCTGCATGCTGCCTCATCAGTTCCCCATCCCCCTTGTCTATGGCAACTCAAGAGCAGGCCAGGGATGCTTTGCGAGTTGACAAGGTCATTCACACATTCCATTACACGTGGTCACTCATTCACATTAAGACGCCACTTGCCACACCACCGTTTTCAAGCACAAACAAGCGAAATGGTTTGGTGCAAAGGGAAGTTACGACTATGTTTTTCAATACGCTTTCCAAAACATTTGGAATGCTAAGGGGAAAAAAACATTTCCCCAATCTACAAGAGCTTTTCCAAGTTCCTCCACATTCAGTTGCTCCAGATACAGTACTATTATAATCGCCTGAACTTCCTGCCTATGATAGAACATATGAGTTTCAATGCAATTGTCCCTCCAGAGAATTGCTGGCTGTTAATTATTAATATATTTTTTTTGATTGACAATGCCTGATTGACAATGGTAATTCAGCCTTAAGGCCAAAAGGATACAAGTCAAACAGACAAGAGGAATAGCTGATGGTCTGTTCGTTACAATTATGCTGAGGTCCTAGAATTTGTGCAGAGAAGAACGACAAAGATCTGGAGGCTAAACCTTACAATGAGTAAGGGAACTAGATATGTTTAGCCTAATGAAGAGAAGACTTAGGGGATACCTATTAGCAATCTTTTAATAGGTGAGGGGATTGGAACAGACGGGGTGGACTTATTCTCTAAAGCAGGGGTGTCAAACTCTATGTCATTGAAGGCCACATTAGGGTTGTGCTTGACCTCGGGCGGGAGGGGGGAGCACAGACAGTTCAAGGTCACTCATGTTGGGGGCGGCTGTGGTGGGCCAAGCACTCTGCCAGCGAAAACAGGCTCCCATTCTGTTTTTGGCTGTGACAGCCTCCTGCAATGCTCTGCCGGTGGAAACAGAGCATGGAAGTACCGTATGCGGCTCTCCAAAGCTCCATTTTCACTGGCAGAGGCACTGCAGGCTGGTCCTTCACTGCTTCCAGGGAGGTGTGGGTAAGATCCAGCCCCTGGGCCTTGAGCTTGACACCCCTGCTCCAAAGTAGCTGAAACAGAGATGAAATGCTACCAGTTTGGACCAGTTTGCCCAAACTGGTAGAAAAAAAATGCTACCGATATTCAGGCGAACCGATATTTCTGATGATCAGCTGTGATGCGCGATTTATATTTGCTAGAATCGTCATATTTCCTGCTTCCTAAATCGCGTGGCAGAGTGGATTCCCCCCCCCCCTTGCTGTTCTACTTACCTTTGCAGGTGCGCTCAATAGCAGGCTCAGCCCACCCACCCAGACATCATCTGTCCTGCTTTTGATGCTCTGCGCATGTGTGGAAGGTCCTGAATGCACGTGCCACCAGCGAAGGTAAGTTGATTTTACCCCTGAGCTAAAGGCAGGACAATGTATGGAAGCTCATCAAAACAAGAGCTAACTTGGAAATAAAGAGGAATTTCCTGACAGTCAAAACTATTAATCCATGAAACAGTTAGCCTCCTAGCATCGCTGGAGGTTTTCAAGAGAAGATTGGACAACCATTTGACCAGAATGGTTTGAGGACACCATTCTTGGGCAGGGAGTTGGATCTCTAAGATCTCTTGCAACCCTATGGTTCTATCATTCTAAATATGTGAA